GGTCATTTTTATATCTCCTCTTGTGTCAGTGAATCTGCTGGAGGAGTACAGTTGTTTGTCTTTCTTTATTACTTTGGTGGGAACTGATGAATAGTGCGTTAAGCCCTGTCTATATTGCGTTTCTTATCAATGGATTTCAGAATGCTGCTGGTTAGCCATGGGCAACCGAGCCGTTTATTCGTGATGTTTCGTTTTTATGGGACAATGTTTGTTGTATAGTCTAAGTATTTTGTTAAGAAAAATGTCTCTCCAATCGTCAATACCATTGGCATTGGAGAATTCTGTAGGCCAGTCAACAGCATATGTGCAAATTACCTAGGATAACCCAAAAAAGTCAATGTGACTTATTTCCATTGGGTTCCTTGTACGACATTACTTAAACCTTAACAGTTAACAAATGATAAGTAACTCAACCATGTGATAAGCAGTCACAAAAAAAGTGATATACTAGAAATAAGATAAGTTATTTACATTAACGTTAAATAGAGGATATAACCGACAGTAATAGAACATATTTGTTAGTTAACAAGAAATCACTCTCCCCCCTTTTTTGTTAGGGAAATCTACCTGACGACACTAGAGACAGGAGGGATAAGGTTGAAGAGGTTAATAAAGTGGTATGATAAAGAAACATAGAGCAGGGAGAGAGAGGAAACCTAGTAGCAACCAGTGAAGTGGCGGGGGCAAGAGCTATGAATGACCCAGCAACCACAAATAGGTGACTACACACCACACACACACACACACAACACACACACACACACCGCCACACTCACAGGCCAAGGGTCTAAGTGGACAAGTGCGTAGGAGAAAATCTTTTAAAGGATGTTCGATAGGAGAGTAAAACTGTATCCTCAATAATTATTGTACACCTCCTCAGTGTGTATTAAACACCCACACAACAGGTAAGGTTGCTAGCGAGGTATTGGCCTAATATATATGTTGCCTTCCTGTTGAGAGGCGTTAGGATACACCAACAATAAACTTACGCTTAACACTGACAAAACATACTATAAAATGTTTGCGTAGCAGACGCACAGGAGATGCACAAATTAACACTTAGATCGATCAACACTTAATACCAGACCATAATGAGGGGCAAATTCCTAGGCCTATACTGACAACAACCTGAATTTCAGCACCATATCCCAATACATAACAAAAAAGTATCCAAAACGGTTGGGATCGTCTCCAAGATACGATACTACGCTCCGCAAAATGCCCTTCTCACACTATACAACTCACTTATTTTATCCATACCTCACCCTATGCTATTTGTGCTTGGGGATCAACTGCAGCAAACACACTAAAGCCAATAATTACCCAAACAAAAAAGCTGCAGAAAGAATAATCACTAAATCCCATCCGGGCAACACCCCCCCCACCTCTTCATAGTTATAAATTACTCCTAGTGTTCAGCCAACCAATACATCCACACCTTACTACTGTGCAATCTTCTCTGTTCAGGACCTTAAACTCAATATCAACCTTGACCATAAACGCTTTCTTGATAGTTTGTGGACAGAACCCACAGGCATAACCACAGACCACAAACTTCTCTACGCATTCCCCGTGTCCGACTAAAACCTTTACAAATAAAAAATTCAATGTATGTCAAAGGCCCTAAAATCTGGAACACCTACCTGAGAACTCTAGAACTGCAGGAACATTCATCACCTTCAAAAACTACCACGAGAAAACATCTTATCTCCCTGATACACCCATCAATAACTACACGAATACACATGGTGGTTAACACTTACACTCACTCGCCTTTGACCATAAACAGAAATATTAATCTCAATCTTAAAATAATGAATCTATGATACTCCAAATACTGAAACTATGTACTGTGCGAAAAACAAAAAGCATTACAATTGCTAACTCCAAAATAGTATTTGTCACATTGTCATTTACCAACTTACATCATATTTTGTATTATTTTAAAATAAAGAATTAAACTAAGTCTGCCCGAATGTCTAAGCCAATGATAGGCGTTTAGTGGTACACTCTGTAATCTTATTTAACTACATGTAAAAACCATACAATAAACCAAATTCTTTAAATTCAACATTGTATACCTATAGAAGAATAAACTTTGAAAAAATGGGTAAATGTATTGTTATAATATAATGTTTAATAATTTGAAAATTAGATGTAATTTGTAAATTAAATCTGTCAAGGGCCTATATCACTTTTTTATAATCACACAATCCACTAATTAGCCAGTGTTACTTGTTTAAATTTTCAAAATAAATATTTAGGAACCATATGTTCCTCTACCAGAGTCCCGAGTAGTTGTGGAAGCTGAGACAGTGGTCATGAAGGAGGGACCATCTAGTTTTTGGAGGGACATTACGTTCCTAAAGTCCCACAAGTCTCAGATACATCACCATCAGTAAATTTCTATTTATTTTTGTGTCTAGAAATCCTCCCAGTGTGTGGGGTAGAAAAGTTAATTCGAGATTGTTTACTTCCCCCCCCCACCCCCCCCCCCCCCCCCCCCCCCCCCCCCCCAGAAAATCCCCACGTAATTCTACGATTTCAGACTAATTTAAATATTTTAATGAAAATTTAAAAAGAATGTAGTGCTTTTAAAATTACTTAATAATTCAAACCAGAACAGTCTTAATATACAGGGGACCAATCAGAATAAATATTTTACAGATGTGTTAATGTTCAATACTAAAAACTATTATACATATCAGATTTCCCATGGACATTTTCTCAATTGAAAACAATGAGAGATTATTATCAGTGAAGAGTTGAGTTGATTTTTATTGATTATTAAGCTCTTGCTTTCAGCTCTGTACATTCAAATTTTGAAGATTCAGAAATTAATTTTGATTTAAGGAAAATGATTGTTCCTGAATTTCAGAGTGAGAATGGTAGGCCAAAGGAAGACCTGTTCTGTTAAGAACATAAGAACATATGGTATGGAAGGAAACACTGCCAACATGGACTCTGACCCATGTTGAGCAGGTCCTGTCCCCCCCGGTTTGACCATTGACCCACCCAGTTGGTCATCTCCACTCAAGGATGGAGGACTGCACCTGTGGAGAAATTTTCTCCAGGAGGGGGGTATCAGCCCCCTTCAGCTCCCTTTAGCCCCTTTCAGCCCCTTTCAGCCCTGAGGGGCCCAGCCCTCTCAGAAGGGGTAAGAATCTTGTTTACTGCTACAGCGAGTAATTGATAGCAGAAGATGCAGTCGAGTATGGGAGTGCTGTTCACTCTTCGACCCGACGCTCCTTGCAGTGTTGCAAAGTATAGTTTAATAAGGACAGTCCATCTCTTACATATAGCAGGACAATTAAGGAAAATCCATGACTCCACTTTATTACCATGGTAAAGATACTGTACATTGGTGTCTATGCTAAGACAGCAAGAATCAATCATTTGCTTTGGCTTCTGGAGGAAGTGGCAAGGATGTAAAAGTACTAGGTCAGCTTTTCTTTGTGCTAGGGGCGTAACGGGCGTGGTCTTGGCGTTCTTCGATTAATTTTGACTCTACTGAGAGTGACACTGATGCAAGGATATACAACAAGAACACTGATCTGTGCATTAGTGTGAACAAAGTGTTCATAAAACACAAATACAACACTTAAGAGAAGTGTGATCAGCTTCTTTAGTGATAGATGTGAACAATGAAGACAAAAAATCTTGTGGAACATAGTGTACCAGTGTGCGTATTCCTAGACTATGGAAGATGTGGACATCAAGGGACACTTCAGCTTCTATCATGTTCACGATACCTGTCGAAGGTGTGAAGAACACCTTAGCTCACGCTACAAGTGCTAAGTAGGTTACGAATTTCTTGTAGTACCGGGGGACTTGCGCAGTTCTTGAGTCACAAGGAGTGTAATAAACATTGTCGGCAGTTAGGTGCAAGACTTCTGAGTCCACACAATGTAAGTATGTCAGCAATCAGTGAATGGAAATATGCTGACTACACCCTAGGGGTAATTTATAATCTTACAAATTATAATCATTTAGTCATGTTGAGGATGACTTCGACAGAATCTCAAGACCTCTTCTGCAGGGGGGCCGTGGCAGGCGTATGTAGCTGTCTTTCTAGTTAAGTTTCCCTACACAAAATGTATAAGCTTAGCTGGTAATGCCATTTCTCCACACATTTTGGTCCTGTGAACGGATAAAGGCCACCCAATATATGTTGTTCTACAGTGTACAAATAACCTCCGCGTAGCAAGGTCCTTCGAAAAAAACGCTGTAAAACTAGTGTTTTACTAATTTAAATCAGTACATGAGTCCCTCAGACTTCAATCACAGAGAATGGGCAGCAAGAAAACGGCGCTCACCCAGCGTTCACAAAGAAACGGAGATGAGTTGACTACTCAACAATAAAACAGGGGATGGCTCCCGTCATCTACTGTCACAAGCTTGAGAAACGTGGACTATGACAACAACAACCAACTGAGGTTCAGTTTGTCTGAGTGTATATACACAGGGTTTATAATGCTTATAACAGAACTAGAAATTAAGAGACAAGAGTGTGTTCAAGTTTGTTCTTATATATTATCACCCGTTATTTATTAAAGGAACTTATATATTAAGTGTATGCTTTTCAAATTACATTTAACAGTGACATTTAATATATGTGTAAGATAATATTCACAATGTGATTTACAGTTATACAAGTGACATTTTATAGTGTTTATAGTGAATGAGTGTATAGCATCGTTATTTACGATTAATCATCGTGGTCAGGCTGACACAGCCAATCAAGCCATAAAACACAGGCCACATGGGACTGTGTACCTTCATGGTCATTAACCTGAGGTTACGCTTAGTAGGGCAGTAGTGTCTGACGATTTTTGCTGACTTAAGGCATAACAAATACTCAAAGCTTGTTTATAGCAGTACAGTTGTTTTTAAACGCTCTAGTGTGGTGCTAGAATTTTCAATATACCATTAAAATGGCTTCGTTTGAAAACTCTGTTTCAGTCTACAGACTAAGATTACACAGTTAGATATATCTAATTTCAGTCTGTATATGGATTAACTCCAAGATACGAAACATAGATATGATGATCTTGAGATTCAAATTGATTAACTTCCACAACGTCTGGAAATAATTAATCAGGACTAACACATTATGAAAATAAATTTTTTGAATAAGACCCCATCTGAGGATGAAATTAAAGATGGTTGGATACATTTACGTAATAAACATTAAGGTGAAAGGAGTTCGCTATCTGCCGCAAAAACTCTGACACAGAGGACTACTGTAACTAGTGGGCAAACACCTGTTTACACCTGTAATACAACAACAAGTGTACCATTACCAAGCTTACCTACACTTGTCATTACCTATTTTCAAGGTCAATAATTATGAAGAATTCATTAGTGGTTTTCAATCCATAGTTAATTCACGAACTGACATAGATGAGATTGCTAGTTCTAATTATCTTAAATGTCTTGTGAAGGGAGAACTATGACTGGATTTTCAAGTCATTCAGGTGGTTTAAAGGCAATTATCAAATAGCCTGACGTGTCTTATGCAGTACAATTACTATGATGCTGAACAAGGCCAGAATTAGACATGCCAGTCTTAATATCAAGCTTCGAAGCCACCCAAACACTGTTTTTCAGATTTACAGGCATTAGAATCACATTAGAAATAGTCTAAGATACTCTAGGTGCCCAATTATGACCTATAGGCCATGTGACTGGTTTACAGTGGTAATTGTACAAGATATGTTGTCACCTCAAACCTATGAACGAATAAATATTATGTTTCAATAAAAACGCTATTTCACTTGTGAGGGAAATTACCAATGGTTTACCAAACAATAGTTTCATGCAAAGCAAGCAACGAAGGAAAGATTGGAAAAATCCAACAATCTGGTGGATATCAACTTCAACTCAGTATAAAAAGAGTTATACCTACTCCACTAAACCACAGAATGGATAATCCCATATAGGTATTTATCAAGCTGTGAACAAAACAGACAGTAACAGGACTGTCACACTAAACGTACTCCCAAATGTGTACTTTGTGATGGAACACCTTGGGCACCGAATTGTAGTCAATACCACATGGAGGTACGTAAACAACGTGTTCATTCAGCTGAAAAGGTGCATCAAGTGTTTAGGGTGAACTCATGGGAGGAAAATGCTCACTGGAGAGAAATGTTTTTTATGCCAGGGTATGCATCATACCAGCTTTTGTCAAATACTTTGGCTGAACAGCAGAAGACTTCCACAGAATCAGAAGTCAACAAGCAACAGCATTAAATGTGAGAGATAAGTTTAAAGCAACTGCTCTAACGATAGCTCGAGTTGAGTTATATAATAAATTACACAAAAACCATGTGCTAACATATTTGAATCAAGGCTCAAAAGGTCTTATAAGAAAGAAAGTGCTGAAGAAAATGATATATACCTTATTCCAAAGTACAGTTAGATATTGCTTTTTTTTCCACAATTCTGGTAAACAGACATATGACCTAGCCAGAATCAATGTTGGTCTAGGAACAGGAATAAGACAGTAGAAGCTGTGGTTAGTGGATGATTTGCTAAGTCTGGCTAGATCAGCGGATTAAAAGAAACAGTTTTGCAGCATGAAAGCAGATAAGGTCAAGATTAGCCTGTGCGACATACAGACGGACACTATTTAGTACAATTGATTTTAATCATTTGGAAGTGATTATTATCATGTTTTGTGCAAAATTTAGTAAGTAAATACTGATGTTCACTTGCTGAAAAACAGCAGGAGCACATGTTATGTGTCATTCCCTCTCAATGTGGGAAAAGTAAGAACTGATATGATTCGGTGTGAAAATGTACTAGTTACAAGAATAACGCTGATATGTACCACAGCATAAATTATCATTACTGGAAGAAATGAATGAAACAGTTGATAGTTGTGGGATTTAGTTGCGATAGGTATTGGATATGTAAATAAAAACAAGCCCACAAGAGTCTCAGATTATAACAATATTTGGACACTGTCAATTATAAAGATGGACCTGTATTGGGTTAGGTTAACATGGAAATTAATTCCACCACATCTACTAGCATTTATCGCATGGGCTTTCGGACAAACTGAAACACATATAACATGAGCTCAGGAAGAATCCAGAGCTACTGTACTGTATGATAATATCATACAAGAAACAGTGGGACAATAAATTCATTGAGGAAAGTAATCGAAGTAAGTTGAAGTCAGATGATCATTATCTCCCGCACCATGGAGTCAGGAAAAAGATTCTGAAACCACTCCTTACGTGTTGATATAATTGCAGCGAACGCCTGAATAAGATGTAGAAGTCTTAATGGACTGTATGATGACCGGAACCTCACTAACTGAGAAGCTTGGAGACGTGCTTATTATGAAATTCGCACCAACCCATATGCATACACGGGCTGATATTTCCAAGGCTTTCTTAGAGTAGGATTTACAAGAATGAAATAGAGGAATTTTACTCGATTCTTGTGTGCCTTGAAAATCCACATGATCCTCAAAGTCCTGTGAAAAACTAATCGTTTCCAAATCAGTTATTATTTGGTGCAAACATCCTCTCCATTCTTACTAGAAGCTACTCTAAATTACAATTTGATGAAATCTGGGAATTCCTTCAAAGATTATCTATAAAGAAAAGTTTCTATGTGGACAATCGTCAAGGTACTGTGATAAAGAGGAGGATTTGAAATCCTTATTCAGAGAAGGCTAACAAGGAGATGACAAGAAGCAAAATATGCCTATAAGGAATGTGGAATACAAATTCAAAGCAATTAAGGGAACTTTCAAAGAAGATTTCGCTGAACTGAAATTCCTGATTGCAATACAATATGCTGGGACTTAATTGGATATACACAGAAAGATACTTTGAGTTCAAAAGGATATACAATTAAATCATGCAGTACACTCACGAACGTAGTTTACTGTCAGAGGTATCTCTTGTTTTGATCCTCTGGACTCGTCTCACAATTAATAAAGGGTTAAAATACTTATGCAAGATGCATGAAAGCTCAAAATTGGTGGGATGTGAACATTGCCTCTAGACATGAGTCAAGCATGGGACGGAAATTCCCAGAGTTTAAAACAACTTCATCAAATTAAATTTCCTACGACAAAATAGGTCAAGAGGGAAACAAGTACACATTACATGTGTTCTGTGATGCGTCAAACCAGAGGTTTATTGGGCGCTGTAGCTTACATTGAGTAATCTGAAGGAAGTACACTAATTACTTCAAAGGCCAGGGTTAGCTCCCTTGAGGTCCGAAACAGTTCCAATTTGGAAACTGACAGCACTCTATGTAGGTACAAAATTAGCTGTCTATCTCAACAAAGTAATTGATCATCTCACTATTGAGGAAAAATCGTGATCTGAGTGATAATGAAGCGGTTCTCAGTGGTTAGAAATATTTAAGTTGTATGTTGGATCTATTGTTACCCGAACGAGTAGCAGAAATAAAAGATGCAGGGAGATTATCTCATGTCTCCACGTCTTACCCAAGAGATCCAGCTGAACTTGGACATTAGTAGTGTTGTCAGCAAGAGCATTTGGTTTAAGGTGTTGTGCTATATTAGGCAGACCATTGATGTATAGAGGATAGACGGGGACCATGGAATCTTCCCTGATGGATCCAGTATCATGTGGTCGTGTTGATGAAGTTATGTCTTTAATGGTGGACGTTACTGATACCTATTAGTAGGATAGGATTGAAATATGCAAGTGCATGGCCTCTCTATACCATAATGGTCAAAGTTTGTTGAGTAGGATGAGGTGGTCTCTGTGTCAAAAGCTTTCCTTAGGTCAATAAAATAGTCTTATGGATGTGGATTGATTCATTTACATTGTAACTTGGTCATTGATTGTGATCCAGATCTACCTGAAGTTCATTCCTTTGTATCTTGTTCAGCTATCAAAAACTTTGGAGTCCAGTCCTGGACCATTATGTACCTCTGTAATCTTTTGACTACCACCCTCAGGGAAGGGTATGGGCCTTCATAATAAACATTATTAACCTAAAACAATTAAAGTTATTAAGTATTATGTATTGAGGTACAGGTACACATAAGTATAATTATCATACGTTAGTGTAAATTACCAAAATAAATAAATTAATTAGGTTATGGTAGCACATAAGTGCAATTATTTACCTGTTAACATATGGTGTAAATTACCTAGGATACCCAAAATGTTAATGCAAGGAGACTTATTTTATTTAGGTCCTTGTATGTAATCTTATTATTTAATGTCTGCGGTAAGTTTACAGTTGAAATCAGTAAAGATTATGATAAGATAAGCGTGGCCGATTTTTTCTGATGTTAGATTACAACAGCTGATTAACACCTAGTTTAACATCTTAATTATGCTCCTTACATATCATCTGTCGGCGGTAGTTTAAGGGTTACAGTGGTCCATATGGGTTCGGGGACTGGACCGTAAGTTATGATAGCTGAACAAGTTACAGTGGTAATGAATATTTACGTGTTTAGATCCGCTCATTTATCGTAAAGTTATTATGCAGACAATAATTTGGTCACACACACATAACACACACACAACACTCACACACCACACACACACCACACACACACACACGAAGTTAATGAGAAGAAATCAAATCGGATGAGAGATCAGGCAGGACACTACAAGAGTCATCGACAGGCTAAAAGCCTGGTCAGCACTGGCTCTTGATTTACCCTGCCAATGCAAAAGTAGCATGGATGAGATTGGGTAAGGGCCAAGAAGGACCGACAGAACACAATATAGTTTAGATGGCCAAAGACTGCAACCTCACTCAGGAAAAAGATCTGGGGGTGAGTATAACACGAGGCATATCTCTGAGCGCACATCAATCAGGATAAACTGCTGCAAGGCATAGGAGCGCCTGGCAAAACCTACGGATTGCGTTCCGATTACTCAGTAAGGATTCGTTCCAGACTCTGTATACATTTACGTCAGGCCATAATGGGTTTGCAGCACAGTTTGGAATCCACACCTAGTCATGCTCGTCAAGAAATTAGAGAAAGTGCAAAGGTTGAATACAAGAACTAGTCACCAGAGCTACGAGGATTGTCCTACGAAGAAAGGCTTGAGGGAAAATCGGCTGACGACACTGTGAGGTCAGGTGGGTCAGGGGAGACATGATAACGACATATAAAAATTACTGCGCAGAATAGACAAGGTGGACAAAGATGGGTGTTCCAGAGAGGAGACCAGACACAAGAGGTCTCAAAAAAAATTGGAAGTTGAAGATCAGATGAATCTAAGGGATGTTAGAAGGTATTTCTTTCTGGTATGAGTAGTCAGGCAGTGGAATAGCTAGAAAGTGACGTGTGGAGGCGGGAAGGGAACCATACATAGTTTTAAGCGAGGTATGATAGAAGTCATGGGGCAGGGGGAGAGAGATGACCCTAGTAGCAATCAGTGAAGAGGCGGGGCCAGGAGCTGTGACTCGACCCCTGCAACACAAATAGGTGAGTACAAAATAGGTGAGTACACACACACAACACACACACACACCACCACCACACACACACCACATATACACACAAACACACTCCACAACCTCCCACCACACGCACACACACACACACACACGCACACACACGCACACACAAACACAACTACGGCACACACAACACACACGCACACGCACGCACACAACAACACACACACACACACACACACACACACTCACACACATACACACCACACACACCACAACATACAGAGAGAAGAGTGGTGGGAACAACTAGAAAGGAACGATTCTCATCAACAGCAGCCAACATGGTTTCAGGACACGGGGAAATCCTGTGTCACAACCTACTGGAGTTCTATGACATGGTGACAGCAGTAAGACAGAGAGAGAGGGGTGGGTGGATTGCATTTTCTTGGACTGCAAGAAGGCGTTTGACACAGTTCCACACAAGAGATGGTGCATAAAAACTGGATGGACCAAGCAGGAAATAAAGGGTAGGCACTACAGAGGATCAGGGAATACTTTCAGGAAGAACAGCAGCGAGTCTGGTACGTGGCGAGGTGTCAGAACGAGGGCACCTGTGACCAGCGGGGGTCCGCAGGGGTTCAGCCTAGGACAGTGCTGTTTCTGTATTTGTGAACGGACATGACGGAAGGAATAGACTCTGAGGTGTCTGTTTGCGATGACGTGAAGTTGATGAGGAGGGAATTCACTCGATCGAAAGACCAGGCAGAACTACAACGGGATCTGGAAGGCTGCAGGACCTGGTCAGCAATTGGCTCCTGGAAGTTCAATCCCACCAACGTGCAAAGTCATGAAGATTGGGGAAGGGCAAAGAAGGCCGCAGACTGAGTACAGTCGGGGGGTCAGGAGACTACAAACCTCACTCAGGTATAAGAACTTTGGGTGAGTAATCAACACAGGCACATCTCTGAAGCGCACATCATACCAAATAAACTGCACTGCAGCATATGGGCGCCTAGCAACCTCACAGAACAGCTTCCGCAATCTTAATTAGGAATCATTCAGGACCCGTACACGTGTACGTTAGGCCCTTATTGAGTATGCGGCACCAGTTTTGGAACCCTACACCTAGCCAAGCACGTGAAGAAATAGAGAAAGTGCAAAGGTTTGCAAAAGATTGTCCCAGAGCTAAGAGGTTATGTCCTACGAGGAGAGGTTAAGGGAATCAACCTGACGACACTGGAGGACAGGAGAAGATAGGGGGACATGATAAACGACTACAAAATACTGAGAGGAATTGAACAAGGTGGACAAAGACCAGATGTTCCAGAGATTGACACAGTTACAGGGACACAGTGGAAGCTGAAGACACAGATGAATCACAGGGAGTGTTAGGAAGAATTTCTTCAGCCACAGAGTAGTCAAGTAAGTGGAAATGTTTGGGATAGCGATGTAGTGGGAGGAAGGATCCATACATAGCTTTAAGCTGAGGTATGATAAGCTACACGGCTCAGGAGAGTGACCTAGTAGCGATCAGTGAAGAGGCGGGGCCTGGAGCCTCGGACTCGACCCCGCAACCTCAACATAGGTGGAGTACAACTAGGTGAGATTACACGCCACAAACAAAACACACGACACACACCACACACACACACACACACACACACACACAAACACACACACAACACACACACACACAATACAACAACACACACACACACACACACACACACACAACACACACACACACACACACACACAATTGGTAGGAAAAATCAGTAAACGAGATGATGGAATTTGTGGCAACAAAGTGCAAAGGATGCTGAGGAAAGTTTGTTCCCAAGGGGAAACAGAAATAATAGGAAGACCAAAACGAGTCCTTGGTTTACCCGGAAGGTTAGGAGGCAAAAACTAAGTGCAACAGAGAATGGAAAAGGTACAGGAGGCTCGGAACAGGAAAACAAGGAGATTGTAGAAGAACGAGTATGCGCGATAAGGAGGGAGGGCCAAGCGACAGTATGAAACGACATAGCATCGAAAAGTCAAATCTGACCGAAACTGCTGTATAGCCACATTAGGAGGCAGACAACAGTTCAAGGACCAGGTGATAAGGCTGAGGAAAGTAGGTGGAGAACTCACACAGAAAACGATCAAGAGGTATGTGAGTGAGGCTCAACACGGAGATTTAAGAAGTATTTTCAGTTAGAGCAGGAAGGGACTCTGGGGGGAGTGACAGACCAGTGGGGACACCAACAAGAATACACAACAAGTGTTGGACGACATACATAAGATGAGGAGGAGGTGAAAGAAAATGTAAGGGGGGGGTGACATCGATACCTCAAAGGCATGGGACCGGACAAATCTCTCCATGGGTCCTTAGAGAGGAAGCAGATATGTTGTGCGTACCACTTTACCACAATCTTCAACCACATCCCTGGAAACTGGGCAACTACTGAGGTATGGAAGACGGCAAATGTAGTTCCCATTTTCAAAAATGAGACAGAATAGAGGCACTAAACTATAGGACCTGTGTCATTGACGTGTATAGTATGCAAAAATTATGGAGAAGATTATCAGGAGGAGAGTTGTGGAGCACCTGGAAACGGAACAGGAGTCTAAATGCCAACCAGCACGGATTCACGGAGGCAAATCCTGTGTCACAAACCTTCTGGAGGTTGATGATAAAATAACAGATAAGACAAGAGAGAGAGGGTGGGTTGATTGCATCTTCTTGGACTGCAAGAAGGCCTTTGTCACAGTTCCTCACAAGAGATTAGTGCAGAAGCTAGAGCATCAGCGCATATAACAGGAAAGGGCATGCAATGATCAGAGAATACTGACAGGGAGGACAACAACGGAGTCGTGGTACGTTAATGATGTATTCACAGTGGGCACCTGTGACGAGGCGGGGGTCCCACAGGGAGTCGGTACTAGGACCCGTGATATTTTTGGTTTATGTGAACGACATGACGGAAGGGTTAGACTCAGAAGTGTCCCTGTTTGACAGATGATGTGAAGTTAATGAGGAGTATTTAAATCTGAGAGGACCAGGGCAGGACTTCAAAGAGACCTGGACAGGACGGGACACCTGGTCCAGCAAATGGCTTCTCGAAATTTAATCCTGCCAATGCAAAGTCATGAAGATAGGGGAGGGCACAGAAGACCACAAGGACAGAGTATAGGCTAGGTGGCCAAAGACTGCTAATCCTCACTCAAGGAGAAAGATCTTGGGGTGAGTATAACACGTGCA